TTATATTAAATAATTACTTCTAGTGCAATTTTTATAAACAATTAATTTCGACCAAAAATACAAACAAACTTATTCAAACATTTGGCAACATACTAAATGAAACTAACTGAATTATAGGGAATGAAGTAGAGTATTAAGTACCTTTCTTGATCTCTGAGTATGCATTGGGCATTGGTCCGTTCAGATAATATTTCCATTTAGCTCTTTGTTGACGCTCTTGTAAAACGGTGAAGTTGTAAATCACAGATACAATCCAGCAATATGAATTTTCAACACAGGAGATTGCTGATCCTTTGTTTCCACTTATGATTTTAGTGATAACTGTCAAGTAAATGGCAAGTAAGTGGGGAAAACGATTTTGGATTAACCACTGGTGTTTTACGTTTTGTTATGCCTTCTGCTTCTTACAGAGTATACGTTCTTAGCCAAATGCGCCAGTAAATTCTTGATGGTATTATAAATTATCACTACTATCCTATTACCTATAGCTGCCAAGTATTATTATCACTACCATCCTATTATCTACAATTACTAACTTAAAGTGGGAAGAAAAATACGGGAATGCCGCTACATCATAATCTAATACTGTATTATTTTGATATCGCTATATTTTGCAATAATTTTCAACTGAATGCCAATGGCTTATATTTGTAGATATCTAAAATCGTTTGGTTAATGATAAGAATTTTAAATATTCGTTAAACTATGACTAACAATGGTATTGGAAGAAATTTTTAAGCATTCTATTTATTCCCTAGTTGCCTTTTTGGTAAATATGCTATCAGTGGCAGATGTCATCTCTCAAATGTTGCTAATATTCAAACAACTTCCTTGAACATTTATGTGCTTAATCGGCTTGATTTTCTTTTTGGATAAAAATAATTCGTAGTGATTTGAAAGGATATTGTAGCGTTAATTGTGCAGAAAAAACATTAGGAAAAAAAAGAAAAAGAAAAACCAAGGAACCAACATTCATATATGTTTCTATTAGTAAAATAGAAAAACAAAGTCTCATAAATAGACTCATTGCTCATTTTGAAATTAGTTTTATTCGCTATGTTAAATTACATCTAGTAAAAAAATAAGGCGAAAAATAAAAAGTAAAACAAAAATAGACGGACAAAAAAAGGAAACGGAAAGCAAAAAAAGTTAGAAAAAGACGAGAAATGGAAAAATTAAGAGAACAAAACAGAAAACAAAAAAAGTTAAAAAAAGCAAAAGAAAAAGGGTAAATTTGGTTTAATGTTGACTAACCTTTTCTGAATTGATAAAACAATGCAATTCTAGAGGAATAAAGATGTGGGAGTTAGCTTAGAAACTGATCTTTAATTGAATATCAAGAAAGGTAAAGGTTGGATTAAATGATTATTGTTGGTATCATTCCTTTGATTTTTTTTTTCTGAATTAGAGCTTCTTGTAACCTTTTTTTTGTACTGCTTTACTTTTGTTTAATTATTCTCATTGGTTTGCAAATTTTTTCGTTTTTCTTATTCGCGCTTTCCATTCAATCTTTGAAATATCCGATTTATTATCATTGCTTCAAGAATCTATTAATTTTATTAGATTATCATATCAGTGTTGCTATAACACTTCTGTAATCTATTTCAAGTCAACTATAAGCATGTCATCTAAGCCTAATGCCATTTTTGGGAAGTAGATTATTTCATTACAGAAAGCAGGACATGATGTGCATTACTGAATTTTATCCTATGCTGATACAATTTAGTGATAAATGATTAGCACAAATACCCTCTCAAATAAATGGATAATTCCCGAAAATAATGTGTAAATCGAAGAAATAAAAACTTTTTGTGAGAGAAAAAAATTGTAATATTTGTGGTTTTAGATGAAGAAATTGCTAAAGAGTAATTGCTAATGATTAATTAATTTAAATACAGCTAAAGAATTAGTTATCAAACTTTCTGTTAGTGTTTTTGTATTGCTCCCTGGATTTTTCCAATTTTATTCATGCAGAGTAGTATATTTTATAATTATAAATTATGCAACCATATTAAATTATAAAAACTTCTGATTTTAACGAATAAGAAGTGCTCATGAAAGTAGAATTAGAGTATTTCAAGGATATTTGATAGAAAATGAAAAAAAGAAATAATTCAATCAAATGAAAGAATTTCACATTTTCTCACAGATGTGGACAATGCTTGCTTGTTTACCAAGCGTTTAATCCGTTGATGATAAAACTACACGCCACATATATATAAATACCAATTTCCGTGAATGGTTTACCCTTCCAGTAAGTCCAACATCCATTTTAATCCATCAAGTTATTATCAGTGAAGCTCTCCACCAGCTAATGGAGATTTATTATTTATTATTATTATTATTATTATTATTATTATTATTATTATTATTATTATTATTATTATTATTATTATTATTATTAATTATTATTATTATTATTATTGTTATTATTATTAATTATCGTTGTTATTATTAATTATTATTATTATTAAATTATTATCTCAGAGCACGTATAATATAGTCCACAAGATTCTAGATTTGGAATTCAAGAAATTAGACGAGTGATGGGGGAACTTTTTACTGAGTTCATCAAATTTGTTCATTTTTAGGGTGAGAAAATTTTGTTATAATTTAGCTCACAACATTGGGCAGAAAATAGTTGGATGAAGTTTGAATGAAAGAAAGAGACGAATTTTAATTCCAATTCCTAAATTAGCACATAATTACGT